CAAAATAAAAAAGGATTTGAGTGAAAATATGGAAGCTTCATAGGATGTATTTGAACTTTGAAGGCTTTTCAGCATGAATTTCCAATTTCTGATATTGGAGAAAACTTTTCATTATTATTGTTATCAGAGTAGATCTTGGAGTTGGCTTATATGTGGTTTTGATGTTGTTTTAATGTTGGTTGAAGTTGTTTCCTAAGGTCTCTTCAAAGGAAAGTGTCTGAGCTGTACTTGTGTGATGTTATCTTAGAAAAAGCACAGTGGATTTTTTTTTTTTAAAGGTAAGCAGCATTTCCCAAAGTTATTTGACTTCAAAGCACAGTTGAAGTAAATATTTTTAATTTTAATTTGGCTGTCAGCAATAAGTTGATTCAAATAAGTAATAACCAAAAACTGATGACATTTTACAATTTCTGGATGGAGACATTGGTTGTTGTAGAATATTTGATTGTTTAAGGCAAAGGAGGCAATGAATCTGTCAGCCTATAGTAGTCTGCTGTGAGCATTTTTTTTCAGCCATTTCAGAGAAAGCAGTTCTGATAAAAATACACAAGCAAACTCAATGGCTGATTTGAATCCTCATAATACATTTCTTAATTTCTTGTTTTTAAGCTAAAACCTAAGTTTATTTGAAAATAGCAATCCAGGCTTTATCACCTAGTAAAAATATTATTATTTTTTAAAATTTTATTATTTTATTTTATGATTTTATACATTATTGAGAATGTACATACAAAAAATGGCCACTTTCTCAAAGATTAAGAAATAGTAAATCAAATAAGGAAAAAAAAAACCCGAAAATTCTGAGGATAAGGAAAATTTTAAGAACAGTTTTGCAAGATGGCAGTACTTGCATTTACAAAAACATCTGTTCCCTCCTTTCCCCCCATTAAAGTTGTCCTGAAAGGGAGATGAAAGCGAAAATAAATTGAGTATAAGCAATTCAGTGGCAATAGTAAGAGTTTGTTAGTAATTATTCTAAATTTTATAAATAAAATTAAAGTGAGTAATAAATCTGTGGCCAGTTGTTTGGATGCAAACCATGCACAACCAAAGTGAATGGAAGCTTATCATTGATTTAAATAGTAAAGGATGTGGTTTATACAGATGGTTTAAAAAAAATCATTTGGAATAAAAGTTATTTGAAAAATGACTTGAGTTCCTGGCTAAGTTTGGAGAACAATTAAGAAAAGACAGAGTATTCTGTTGTTATTTCTATGTGGTGTTCAGAGTGAAGAAGAATGGTGATAAATTAATTTCAGTTACAACAGAAACTACTGGGAATGTTTACATTGTTATTGAATGTGTAGAACAGTGCTACTGGAGTTTTTTTTTTTTAAACTCTAAAACATGGATATACAACAATATTTTTCACACTTAAACATTGGGAAAGCTCAAAAGGAATGGATTTAATGATGGGGGAAGAAAAAGATGCATAGTTGCTGATGAAGTTGATAGAATAATACAATAAGTGCTTTGAGTCGGAAGTTTACTGTGCAATCTTTATGGCTTAGATGGAGTTAGTTGAAAAATACGTATTTTAATGTAGTCTTAAATAAAGTCTTTATAGCTTCTCTTACCAGCTATATGTACAGTTTGCATGGGTGTCTCTTTAGGATGTTTCATTATCACTGCAGACAAAGTAGGCAGTTGTCATCCAGTAAGAAACAGTAGACAAAAGCACTCAACTCTGAACATGGCAATAGGCACTTAATTCTGTTGGTATTCTGAGCTCTGTGCTCTGCCTGGGAGTAGTTGCCTAAAAGAGAAGAAAGTGGCAGCAGAGGATGGGGGAGGCATTTTCTCACTGTCATGTAGTCAAGAGCCCTCTCAGTTGCAGAAAAAGATGTCTTGTCTGTTGGTATGCTAGTAGCTCATTCTTCTGTCAATGAGACAGAGGAGAGCTATCACATACTTACTTTGGCTGTAGGTGTCCTTACTTCCATGCTTACTCTTTGTAGCAAAAGTGACTAATCTTTTGATGCTTAGGAAAAAAATGGTTGTTTGCCTCCTTTTCTGTTTTCCTTTGCTACTATCTCATCCTTATGGTGAAACTGAATCTTCTTGACCTTCCTTAAGTTGACAGGTTTTGTGGAGGAGTCTGCAGACCTTCTTGAGTTCTCCAAAGGCAACCAGTCCCTAACCACCTTTGTTATAGAAAATTGTCTTCCTTATTCTTTCTTCAGGGAGAACTGCTGAACTTCTGTCTCTTTTGGTTCTTCCAGGTGAACTGGGTGTTGCTGTCTGACAATTTTATATTTCTTCACTGATGAAATTTTGGACAAAAAAGTGTTTAAATTTAGGCAGTTGTATACAGGGTCTCTGAGTCCTAGTGGGAGCTGGTGCTGGAGTTAGGCTGCTTTTATGATACAGGTGTTGGAGGCTGGTGACATAAGAGTGCTGCAACCTTCCCTGTGGTTAAATTTTTATTGGATATGTTGCGATTTTTCAGCAAGGTCTGATTATCTGGGTTCTAAAGATACCAGATGGAAACCAATGGAAAAGGTCCCTTGTCCTCAGTTCCCTGGGGACTTATTGACCCCTTGTTCAAAAAGTGTATGAGTGCTGTGGTACTTAATTTCTTTCATTATGTAGGTAGTTTTTGTTATCATGACAGATAAAAGTGTGCTATGGCCCACAACTATCCTGGATGTGCGCTCTATATATTGGAAATCAGAATATATTAAGCTTTTAGGTTTCTGGCTATATTGTTTAATTTTTTTTGATCGTGGTGGAGTAGTATTTAGTTAAAGTTACTCTAAAACTGGTTTCTTGTAGTGAATATTCTTTACTTGCCCAAATTTCAGTTGGCTTAGTGGTGTGTTTTTTTTGTTGTTTTTTTGACACTTTAATGTTTCTGGTATATTTGTATATTTACATAATAATTTTTCATTATAAGTAAGTATACCTGGAGTACTGGCTTAATTACATCTGAAGTAAAAGCTTTTGCTGCCTGTTTGTGAATAACTAACTGAAGAAGGGTTTTTTCCAAATTTCAGTGTCACTTTTCTACTAGTTTAATGGCTTTATTAGATGAATGGTGTTTCCATTCCAGTTAATTTTTTGAGAGGAGATTTAAAGATAAATGTTCACAATTAACACCATGTTAACATTTATTTATCTGTCTTCAGTAAGATGTCTCTGGCTGAGGGCAGTTTGCAAGTCTTAGAAAAGTCTTTATAAACACTTCCTGAAGATATTTCAAGTAGAGAGAGAACAAAAAAGGACTGCTTTTTATAGGTTTTTTTTCAGTCTGTCTGTTAATGATAATTTTAAAATGGTCCATTGGAACTGTTTTTAAAAGCAGCTGAAGTTGACAGTTTGTACTTCCTTTTCCCTACGCTTTTATTAGAGTGCTTTTTCTGTGTAGAATAATTCTATAAACTATTTGTGAATAAAATAATGAAGCAGCACAGATACTGTATTTAGTTGGAGAGGAAATGCTAGAATGGTGTTACGTTGCCTGTGAATGTTGACTATGAGTTGTGTGTGCCCTTTCCATTTTCTGTACAAATTATAACTACCAATTTACTAAATGGGCTGGGGGGACACCAATCAGTTGGAAGCAAATACAAAAAACTTGTGTTTTAAGAAAAGAATAAAAAGCACATATGCAATTCCAGATACTAAATACCATTCCAGAATCTCAACAGTACTACTGTAAGTACAACTTTACGTCTAGCTCAGTTTGAGTCAAAGTACAGTTGGGTGAAGAAATTAAGAACCTTTAGATTCTGCAGAGTAGTTAAAAAAGAAAATCCAAGATGAAAACAAGATTCAAAAAGGTCTGCAGTGAGGCAGTATGGTGTGCTTTGTTTTTTGTTGGTTTTTTTTTCTTTCATTATAGGACAAATTTGCCCAATCATAATTTACTTTGTTTACCTAATCTAATAATCTGCTAGGTTATCTAATTATGTAAGTCTGTCATTTTATGTCCTTAATATTTGCATACAAGTAAGCTGGGGTAGGAGGAAAGCACAATTATTTTTAAGGTGTACTGAAGATCTTGTGACAAAAGACTTGTTTTCCTCTTGGGGAAGAACAGAATTCATACTAAATGATTAGGCACACCAAATTCCCTTTCAGATGGGGTAGCTCTGTACTATGCGATATTACTCTTATAATTCTATTATTAGTGTCAGTTTATTAATATGTTGCATTAGCTATGTAGCAGCTTCTGCTACAATTACAGGCAAACTGTCCTCCACTGAAACAATCTGACAACTCTTAGGATTTTAGTATTGAAAAAAGGCCTAAAATTAGTAGGTTTCTTTCTGAATTGCTGTTTCCCCCTGCCCCCATCAAACCAAATGTCAGACAATTAGGAATGTTTACTTCTTGAAATGTTGTTAAAACACAATATGGTAAGTAACTAAGCATTTCTTGATGACCCCAAGTTAAAGAGTTAGAACAGAACTGGATATAAGAGTTGATACTCCTATGAAAAAATGAGTTTGCCACACCTTTAAAGAAGGAAAAGAAGAGATTTGATAGAGGGGATGTGTATCGGGATTTCTTTCTACAGAAAGAATACAGGAGTCTAGTCAAATTAGAATGACTTTGTTTAAACAAAAAGTCTACACAGAAATCATGTATGGTGGTAATGCTTGCATGAATACTAGTTTGTTTAGATATTTCCTTTTTGCAGGAATTTGTATAGCTTTTACCCAATGACTGTGTTAATCCAAGAAACGTAAAGAAATAACCTGTTATTCTGCTTGTGTGTCACTGTTAGTATAAATCATTAGTATTTGCATTTCATGGAGTATTATTTGTATAAATTCTCCACTGAATAAACTTAAAAATATGCTACAGTTCATCTAAACTTTGATAATATAAAATGTAGTATAAACATTACTTAAGAAACTTATGCCTGTAATATTCTAAATAGTTAAAATAGTCCATGGAAGAAAGTGTTGTAAAAGGTTCTTTGTACTATAATTGAAATGTCCTTTGAGCTTCTAGAAAACATTAAAATTAAATACAATTATAACTTTTTGTAGGTTGGGCTCATGTGGTTTGTGCTCTGTACATTCCCGAGGTGCAGTTTGCTAATGTTGCTACAATGGAACCTATCGTGTTGCAGTCTGTTCCCCATGATCGTTATAATAAGGTATAATTATATGTCATTTTGTCTATATCTAATGTATTTATTTGAAAACCTGTGAGCTTTAATAATCTAAAACTATACTTCTTAGAATGGTCTTTATATGAAATTCATAAATGTATACAGTAATGCTGCATGTTTTCTGCTATGGCTTTTTGATAAATTCAAGAATTAAGAAAACTATATTATTAAATTAAGCTGCAAGGTTATTTGCCATGTCTCATTATTCTTTTATAGATTAGAGACTGTTTTGTTAATTAAAAATACTATGATCTTTGAAGAACAGTTTATTTTGAAAGGAATGTGAAATATTTCCCATAGGTTAAAATATTATTATGGCTTATTTGAAATGTTATTATTAATTACCACTAAGTCCTACTGTATTAAGTATTGATATGATGTTCATAAACATTTCTTTTAGGAAGAAAAGCTGTGCTGATATACTAAGGCAAAAGCTTGCCGACTTTTGCTTGTGTAAACAGTATTCACTTTAGTAGGATTATTTGCTTGTAGAAGAGCTGCTCCTAAATAAGTGTCAGTGAGATGGAATGTTTTATATGGTGAGACTTTATTAAAAAAAAAAGGCAAAGCAATGTAAAAGTAACTTATTAATGTTCTATATTGATAGTTACATTTTTCTATTTGTTTCAGTTGTGCTACCTCTTTGCCACTAGACTTAACCACTTCCTCCTTTGTATTTTTGTATTTTCCCTTCTGCAAGCAGCAAAGTGTCTAAACTTCTGATTAGTTTTTTTTACATATTTTTCTTGTGGTGTTCTTTTTATCTCTAGTTTCTTTCTTTTACTTTATTTTATGGTGGTTTGTGGACACTGGGGTAAAAGAGGAATATACTGGGGTAAAAGAGGAATATACTGTGTTATAAAAGAAAGCAAGCAAAAAAAAGACATATATCACCTCTGGTGTTCTTCCTACAGGGAGACTAGTCCTGTTCACGTTATGTCTGTGACCTCCCATTTTTTCTCTTTTTTTTCCTAGCTTACATCTCTGCTTTATGCCCCACCCCACCCCACCATTTCCCTATCCTTTTTTCTTTTTTTCATACTTTGGTCTTTTCCGTGTGTGTTTCATGTTCTCACGATTGCTGTCAGTATGTTTTACCCATCTTATTTACCAGTGTATCCAAAAAGCCAGGAATCAAACTCCAGGTTCTTCTCATGCCTTCCTATTGTGTACTACCTGAGCATCTGTATTGGCTCCTCGCTATTGGCTTCCTTCTGCATTGGAAAGAACACACAACAGCGAGATTAAGTGCAGAACAAATAAAGTTTTTGTGCTTGGACACAAAGCAGTACAGATCTGCTGTGGCAAATGAGTTTTTCTCTCTTTCCTCAACTCTGGGCCAACAGCACATCTGTTTTCTCATTTTTCCATGAGTAGTAGTCGTGATATTTTTTTATTCATAGTGGTTCTTCCCTAATGTGCTTCAAAAATTTCATGGAACACTTTCGATTTCGTTTTATCCTACAACATTTCCACTCATGGTAATTGATATTGGATGAGTAAATCCTTGTAACTTCAAACAATGTACCCTGCGTCTTTTAATATAACTTGTTCACAAAGTCCATTGTTGGTCTATGTCTCTTTAGTTGTAACAAAAAGGAATTAAAGACTAAAGTTGCTTCTATCTTGAACTGTTTTTTTCCCTAATATATGACATATACTTGTGTTTTACTGCTAAAATTCCAATTTGCATTTTGTTGGTCTGTAGTTACCATTAGTTTTTTTTTGCTTGCTAGATAATTACTAGTGCCATACAGATGATGTAGAGAAAGTTCTTGATGGTGTCTAGCTTTTCCTTTTCTGTGTTTTTAGTGGGTGTTCTGATCTGGGCCTATTTTCCATGATAAAAGTTAGCCTAAAACTACCTTTATACAGGCCACTACAGTATATTGTAAAATATAGAGAGACCTATATCAGAAATTTCAAGGTTTGTGGTCACAACCCTAGCCTGCAAATTTTTTTTTTTCCTCTCTTTTTACAGAAGCCAGTGTTTCCTGTCTTTATTTGGTCTAGTTGGTTCAGGGAGATAGTGGCTGTGGATTTCAGGGGAATCAAAGAAATGCCTATAGTGCAGTTGCTGCAGCAAGCCTCCTGAAACCAATCTAACTTCACTGCCAACAGCAGTCTAATTGTAACAGCACAGAATTTGAGAGACAATTGCTGACTGGGGACTCTGCCAACTTTTTGATAAATCTGTAGCCAGTGCTGAGTTTGATATTGGTGTGGCTAAACAGTGCCCGAGTAGGCTCGTTTTGAGCAATACCCCCAAAACCAATACAACTACCAATTCCCCTTTCAGGTAGCCTGCAGTAACTTCACCTCCCCACCCCTTTGCTATTCAGTATAAATTCTGTTTATTGAAATGGTACATTTTTTAAATCAGAAACTTTGTAAAGCATTTAACTCTGACTTTATTGATTTGGGGGCAAATTGAAAAGAAAAGCTGTTTTTTGAGAAGTAAATATGGCAAACAGTTCTTAAAACATTTATTGCACATTGTAAACAAATGTAAACATGTAATTAGGAAAAAATGACTATAGAGTTGTTTCTCCTTTCAGAGAGGCTTAGTGCTAATTTCATTCTGTCTGTCAACTCAGGTTGGAATAGGATGATTTTAAGAAAGATTTTATTTCCTGTGAAGTTCTAAATAATTCTGCATATGAATATTCTGCATAGAAGGCTAGCATATGAAATTGAGGGAAAATATAGGTCAATGAAAATTACAATAAGGGAAAATTTGTCCTGTAGTCTTTAAAATAGAGACAACCATTGCTGGAGTTTTGCCAGGAGATAGTACTTAATTTACACAGTTTTTTTCTATGCACTTGTTTGTTTATTGAACACTGTAAAATATGCAATATTACAGAGTGCAGTAATCTTAAATGCAAGAAGAAACACAGCAGACAGCAACGCATGAGGCTTGTCAATATAAAGATCCTTGGCTGCTATTTCCCTGAAGTTTACCTGCTTCTGGGATAAAAATCGTCACATTACAGAATCAATCCACTGACTGACTTGATTAGTGGGTTGACTAACAGGAAAACTCTTCTTACACAGTTGCTTCCAAAAAGAAATGGACTAGTAGTTGCTCTCCTGTTCAGTAGATGTTATTCCAGGGATAGTAATGCATGGATAATCTCTATTTTATGTAAGCTTTATTTGTCTCTCTCAGGTTTATTTGAAAGTATGTGGTAATTGAATATGACTACTGCTTTTAGGAATCTCTTTTAAGAGCTGATTAAAAAATAAGTGCATTTGGAGTTTCTTGATCCACCTAGTAGTAAAGGCAGCTCTTAGACTTTTATTTCAGTACTTGAGGCAGTAATGAGAAATTTCTGTACAACTCCTAGTTTTGATTCTGTAAGCAGGGAATGCTCTAGGGTAGCTGTTACAAGTGGAGTAAACTATTTCTTAAATTACTTTTTGTTTTATAAAGATTAACTTGCTTCATGGTCCCTTCTCTCTTTGCTTTTGCAAGGAAGGTTTATGTTTTGGATCTTTGAAGAAAATATATTGACAGAAACATAAAGGCAGCTTTGCAAAATGTATATTTTGCCATTAAAGAAACTAAGATATTTGTTGTGGTTTTTGAGTAAAATTTCCTTGCTGAGTCAAAAGCTTTGTGTAATGTTTTGCTTATTTTCTAATGAGTTTGGGAGAAGTCTAAGTACTCTCTTCCCTTAAAAGTTCTGAAGAGCAGTGCTGCTGTAGGTGGTGGGACACAGTTTTACACTTCCCCATTCCAGAGATTTCAGAGGAGGTGTAACAATTGCATGGAAATTGCATGAAAGTCTTCTACTTTGTGAAAGAAAGATAAATGTTCTCAGGCTTCTGCAATTGTTTGTGTGTCTAAGGGAAGGAAGAAGTATGAGAAGCTCAGCTTTAGAGAGAACTTGCTGTCCATGTTGGAACAAGAAGATGAACCTTCTTTGTCCCTGTTTTGTATGAAAGATTAGGAAACGGGTTTTATACTTCTTGTGACTATTGTAGGAAGGATGAAAGTTCATTGCGCTTGTTAAAATGGGTAGACAGTCCACCATGTTGTGCTTAAACTTGTTCATAATGTAGCTGGTCGTACAGTAAAATTACATTTCAGTCATTTTACTGTAAATTGCTTTAAGAGGTCCTGAAAACACAGACCCTAAACATAGTATATAGTGTTTCTTTCTGAGCTTCAGTGAGAAAAACAATTACAGATCTTGAGGCAAAACTGAAAAACCAGAACAGTAGCTGGAGCTTGAGTTTTATGGGATTTCTTGAACTCTCTATTTGTAGAGGTACCTTGCCTTTGAAGTTACTTATACTTAATGTAGTTACTCAGATGAGGTTGATAGATCATCACCTTGTAGGTTGCTAAAAACTAAATGTGTCAGGTCATGGTAAGGAAAGCTAAAAAGCCCGTCTCAGACCCTGTCAAACAACTGAATTGTCTGTATACACTACCTTGATGTACAAAGGGAGGAAGGCAAAGAATTAAGTAGGATTATCCCCTTTCTGATCCTTCAAATGTCTGGATATAGGGTATGATTTTAGGATATATTAGCTGTCGGGTTTAATGCTTTTTAAAAGTCTTGTGGAAACCATACAAGAATGACTCACCTACCCTAGAGTCTTGCATGTTAAAAGAAATGCTTTAGTTAGCTGACATCTCATTTTAAATGTTGTTCTAAATACCTCTGTTAAAGGCTGTTCTGATCTCAGAATTTCTCTCATTTTCGTGTCTTTAAGTAATACATTATATCCTTTGTATTTTTTATTTCAGTGGTGTTTTGGTCCATTTTTCTTAAACTGTATTTTCTACTACCCATGGTTGATGTTCTTATTTATTATTCTACTCGTTCCCTGCCTTACTGAAGGGAGGTTGTGATACAATTACAATAAGTCAGTTACAGTTTAAATGGGGACAAAAAAATGTTCCTTTTTTCTTGTCTAAGACCTGGTAATGGCATTTCTACAGAGGTAGCAGTGTGTTGTCACCTCAGTAAGGTTCTTTCTCATTTAAAAACAGGCAGTTGACTGCCCCAATGCTGGAGGATACTTTCGTTAAGAATCTGTTCTTAAATTGTTAAATTTTACACATAAATGTGATATGATAGAATCTCTCTAAAAAGCATTTTAGTAACTAGGACAGTAAAAAATGTAAAGAAATTTATTTTTGCCTGATGTTTCTCCCTGAAATGTTGGTGACAGATTGTAGTGATGTCTAGTATAATAGTGAGCTTCTATACAGCAGATATCCATGTTTATTGGCCACGTATTAAAAAAAAAAAAAAAAGGAAAGTACTGAATAATGAGAAAGATTTTGGATTCCTTTTGTCTTAGTTTTTTTTCTTCTGTTTTACTGAGAATGTTTTTGAAAATATTACAAATTGCCATAGTATCCCAATAAAACAAATAAATTGACAGAAATGCTATGAAAAGATTTTTAGGTACTAGACAGGTTGTTTCCATTTTAACTTGTTTTTGAGCTTGAAATAGGCTTGACATACTAATTTAAGCTTTGTTTACAGAAGATTCTTGCTTGATTAGTTTCTAAGATGTTTATGGGGCTGTCCAAGTCATGCTGAAATTAAAGCAGAGTTCTGTTAAACACTACATTTAATTAAAGGTAACTGAGCATCATATGAATATTGAGGCATGCTATGAGACTTCTGAAAATTCTTTACACCTAATGTACAAATAAAATGTTAAGTTTGCAGATTTTCTGTGTGTAATTTTGTAGACATATGCATGTAAACTGTATGGTAACTTCTACTATTAGGCAGTCAGTCAAATTTGGTGTTTCTGAATGCCACCAAGACACATAATGTTAAAGGAAGGTGAAAATGATTGTGACCTAAAAGGACATAAACACAAACTTGAAAGCAAGGAAAATCTTGAAGCCTAATGCTATTAACCTTTGGCTGTTTGACCGTTTGGCTAGTTGAATAGCAGTATAGAATTACTGTTTGTACTGTTTTAGCGTTGGTGAAGTGTTACACAGATCCTAAGTGTCTACCAGGTGATCTCCTTCTGCAAACAAACGTAATTAGACTTTTATAAATAAATTCTTATATAAGCTTAGCTGCAAAATCCAGTAGTTCTCACCCTAGAATCTCCTGTGAGTAACACAGAATTTATTTGTATGCTTCTTATCATGTTAAGTATTTTCTCTTTGATAGACATGCTATATTTGTGATGAACAAGGCAGAGAAAGTAAAGCAGCCACTGGTGCTTGTATGACATGTAATAAACATGGATGTCGACAAGCTTTTCACGTAACCTGGTAAGTATATTTTATTATTTAACATCTCTGATGTTCCAGAAAGAATCAGTGCACACAATATAATGAATAAACTCTTTATTTAGTATATTTCTGAGCAAAGAAATACAGTGAAATGGTTTGTGTAGAAATAGCTAACTTTATGATAATAGAGTTTACTAACAGTATGGCAGTGGCAGCATAGACATTGCTGTGAGCTGCAAAAGCTGTCTGATAATACTCCTTTGGGTTGTATTAAATGCTATGTGCTCCTGTGAATAAGGTTTAGTGTGGTGGTTTTTTTTTTTGTCTCACATTATTTTTCTTAGATGATATTTTGTACAATATGGGAATGTGAAGACACTGTTTACCTACTAACTGATTTGATGTTTACTTTTGGTAAACCAATGGGAAAAATTATTGAACTATACATAAAAATGCACTAGACTCACCTGTTCCAGTACAGATTTCCAAACATTTGGGGATAATTCACCTCACTGTTTTTATCTAAATGGTACACATCTATCCTGAACTATTCATTTAGATTTCATGTGTAGCTGCTGGAGAAAAACAGCTGTGTCCACCATCTGATTCATTCCACTTCAAGATATTTAGGTTTGCTTGCATTCAGGAGATGCTTGTGTCACTTTATGGACTGCTAAAAGAGGCTGGATAATTAGATTAAACCACATGTCAACAGGTAAAAGGAGGCAAAAGGAGTTCCATCCCAAAATTTACAGGCATTATTTGTTTTTTTAAATTCAGCTGAAAGTATTTTGCAATAGGTAGATAGCAGATTTATGCAGACTGTCTAGCTACATGATGTGTGGATTTACTCATAAGTTTTATGGGTGCTCCAGTATGCTTCTTCGTGACCAGCTCAGTCAGGGAAACAGTATTTGCATACCTACTTAAATTACTTAAATGTATTTTTTTCAGTGTAATCAAGCGATACTTTGAATATCTTGTGCAGATCTTAAAGGGTATAATTCCGTAGTTTAGGCACTGATTTCTTGGCAACTCTTTTGCTTTTTCTTTTAATTACTTGACTATCTAGCAGGTTTTACTGTTTCATAAGCATCTAATTTTTCATTGGATGTGATCATTGTCAAGTTTCTTTTTCTGGTGAAAATAGATTGTGTTCCTCAAAGCATGCATACCATATAAAAAGGTTACTTAGAGATGTGAAAAAATGTATGCATTGAAGTGTTTGGATGAAAAGGTCTCTCTTTCACACACTTGGATGCATACAACAATCCTTTTCATCTTTTTTGTTTCTTCCAAAACCCTGTTTTCAGTGAATGCCATAAAGAACATGAGAATTAGGTTAAAAATGAAAATATATATCCTGCTAATTTTTAGAATTTGTTGATTCTAAAAAAAACCAGGTATGTACTATAAAATGATATCTAGCCAGAGAGTACTGTGACTGAGGATACTGAGAGGCTTCTGTAATATTTAAAAAATGGAAGAAAAATGTGAAAACTACAGACAGCAGAGATCCAGGGCAAAGGTGTATTAATTTTGGCTTACCAAAACTAATGTCTAAGGAAGAATGAGCATGAGTACATCTGTTTTTGTATGGCAAGCTTAGAATAATAAATCTTTGCTTAAAGAGATCCTGTTAAATGTTTTCTGTTGTTGGCATCTGCTGTAGGCATGCATGTATGAGGGGAAAGTGATTTTTAAAAAGCAATAAAAATAAGCTGCCTTATATATATTGCTCTTTCATTTAAATACTCCTGTGCATCACTTTGAGTATAACATTGCATTATTATTCTTCTAATGAAAATGGTATGGAAAATGAAATGGAATATTTGTTTTTTCAATGTCTAAGTTGGTTTGATAAAGAAAATAAATCAACGTTACAAATGATGGAAAGCAAATTTGATTTGAAAAAAATGTAGTAGAATAAGGTAATAATTAGTCCAGGCAAGGAAACTTGTAAGTCTTGTTCTTTTTAAAAGAAATTAACCTGCCACAGTCTTTTAAACCAATAAATATGGTTTGATTTATTATGTCATTGAAATTCTATTTAAAGAAAAAAAAAAGTAATTTTTCTGGCAAAGCAGAGAAAGATGTATGCAACTTTATAAAAATTTCTTCTTTGGATCTACAGTATGGTTTTGTTTAAAACTGTTCTTTCCATAGATAATTACTGGGTTGATTTTGAGCTATGAATCATTGTAAACTGCTTGGCTTATTTATTTGTGGGAGTATCTGCATAATAAATGTAGATTTTCAAGCTATAAGCTTGTGTGAGAGTGTAAAGATTATTAAAAAAGCATCAGGCCAAATTATAAACCATACATGTTTTTCACTGGGCTACAAAGGTTGGTCATGTGCTTGCATGCCATTAGAAGTCACTTGTGTGCAAATATCTTCCATTAAATACAGATATAAGTATCCATACATTATCAGCTGTGATATTGTGATACAACTTGATGTAAAATTGCTTTTCTTCAATGTTGTTTCATTTATTTTTAGTGCACAGTTTGCAGGACTTCTTTGTGAAGAAGAAGGCAATGGTGCAGATAATGTTCAATACTGTGGTTACTGTAAATACCATTTTAGTAAACTGGTATGTATTTGTTAAATTCTATGAAAAAACTGTCACTGACTTATTTTTTCACTCTGAATTTCTATTAACACTAGAAATATTTTCATGTAGCTCAGAAAGTAGATTATGTTTCATTAAAACAATGTTTTAATCACAGTTACAGAAACACTAGCTGAAAATGTTTTTATAAGTGGTTACTTTCTAGATGTGTGGGTTTTTCTACTCTTCCAGAAATAGCATGCTTATTTAGTGTCTTTTTTATTAAGTTCCTGTAATGTTTTCTTTTGCTATTTGATTAGTTGGCTTCTAGGAATTTAGTCCATTTTGGAATAATCTAGAAAATATTACTTGTTATCCTGTATATTGGAGAATAAAGAAGCCCTCCATTTCTTCTGCTTCTGTTAGTCTTTTTTTTTTTTTTTTAGTGTTTTTTCCTTTTGTTCTGTCTCTCACGGTGTATCTAGTGGATATTCCCTGCCTATAAGTTCTCTGAAACACAACCTCAAGAAAGTGACTTGAGGTTTGATTTTAAAAAACAAACAAGCAAACAAAAAATGTTGAAATTTCTCAGTTATTTCAGTAGGTTTTGGATCAGACTTCTGGAGTCTTTTCTATTACTTCTTATCAGTTTGACAGTTCCAGATATGTATTTCTTTGTACCTGTGTGAGTGTGTGGACTTGAAGGACTTACTGATATTTAAAAATTGGTATTTATGAATATTGAATTATGAAAATGAAAATATATAGACTTACGTTCAGATACTGCTGTAAGTATAGTTAAACTTGCTGATTACTTGTTTTCACTGCTAAAAAAGGTGGTATTTTTGAACAGGTTGCAATGAGGTAAAAACACAGGGTCAATAAACCATGTTAGCTTCCTAGAAGATAAGCTTGGTGCGGTTAGCTCTGTGCTTTTGTGAATATTGATGAGTTTGCTTCATAATGAAGATAAGTCAGGGCTTTCTAGGCCCTTACTAAGCTAAGATTTTTTTTTTTTAATTATCTTGCACTAAATACACAAAAAGAACAAAAATGGCCTATTACTTAGCAGTGAAGGCAAGCTCTTACACTGTTATGTATTTGATTTGAATGTTCCAGTGCTGCTATGATAGAGAACATGTATGTTTATTTAAAAAGCAAGTTTAATGATAAAGACATAACTCCATATTTGACACATAATTAGTTAGCTTTCCATTATGAAACTATATTGGTAAGAAACAATCTTGCCAGTCTGTTAAGTGTTTTAGTGTTTCTTTAGGATTATTGTGACTGTTGATGCCTGGTAAATACAGGTGTTTAGTATTTACTCCTGAAGATGGTGGGTGGCATATATCTACTATACCACTGAAAGCTTTGGTTGGCAAAGCACTGACCTGAAGTGTCTTTATAATGCTACCTCAGTTATGATAAAATAACAAACATGCTGAACACTGGCCTAGCATAAAGTAATTTGCAGTACCAGACTAGGCTGTCAAACATTATGGAAATACAGGCAATTGTGTCTGCTGCTTGTAAATACATACATGACCATAGCATTCTGTATCCTATGCTTTAAACCATTTTAGTTAAAATATTGCAAACAGGTCACTTGGATAATAAATCATGAAGCCATAAAACAGCCACTTCACAATGCATTTAAAGCATGTGGCAGTGTTAGCACTGTGGCTTCATGTGATACTCATTTGAGCAGCACCTTTACTGTTTTATGTTATGAAAACTTGAAAATGTGTCTAGAATCTTTTAAACTTCAAAAAGTGGCATATCTCATTTCTTTGTGGAAAGCATATCTTGCAGATTTGTGGGAGGTGTAAAAGTTGATACAAGGATAGGCTTTTTTCCTGGTATACATTGGGTAGTCTTGTTAATTTTATTAGTGTTAGTAATGTGTCAATTTTTCAGTAACTGAAGTCTTTTTTTCCTTCAGGCAGTAAGCCATCTTGTCAGTTGAAATGCTTTATACTTTTTATTTATTCAAATGGTTCCTTTTCTCTATCCATAAATATATTTTCTCTTTTTAGAAAAAGAGCAAACGGGGATCTAATAGGTCATATGATCAAAGTTTAAGTGATTCTTCCTCTCACTCTCAGGATAAACATCATGAGAAGGAGAAAAAAGTAAGTGGATTTGTCGTTGCTAATTATGTGGCACATCTGCTTAATAGTAGCACTTTTTGATGAATTTTTTGCTGAAAAGCATGAAGGAAATCTTGTTCCTGAAGCACTGAATAATAAATAACACAGGTGATAAACTAGAAGTACTAGGGTCCAATGAGAAAACATCTTGAGGTGCATTTATATCCACACCTTCCTAGTCCTGTTCATCATTAGTTTTGGGATACACACTGAAACATATCCATTGGGAAGGCTGTTTCCATGCAGCTTCCTTTGCTTTAGTTTTCTATTAGTTTTTTTTGTGTAGCCTTTGTGACTAGGGATGGGAAAGAAAAGTAGGGGTAGACATTTTAGCAAGTGTGCTGATTAAAATAGGTCCATCTAATTTTTTATGTTTCAATCTGTCATATCTTTTTCTCCTCATCAAAGAACTGACATCTGTTGACACATTTTATTGGTTCTGGTGGTCAAGACCACTGTGATAGCAAAGTACCTTGTTGTTCACCTGAGAATCTTCCTGTGGGAGTACAAAGAACATAACTGACTACTAATTTCTATCGTTGGTGTATTTTTTTAAATAAATAACTTTAGAAAATTATTTAAAAAAAAATGTAATGATTATTATTTTACGTTTTTACTACTGCTAGATTAATAGTTGTCTATGGGAAATTTGTCATCTAAATTCAACGCAGGGTGGTAACAGACTGGCACAATAATGCAAATTTGCTTTGGCTCTTTTTTAGCCCTCTAAGAATACATGCAAAGCTGCTCACCTGCACGCATCCTGTACAACTAACTTAATAGACTTTTCTGCGGGTGTGGATAGTCTTAGTTTTGCATTATTCAAAACCATTACATAAAACTTGAAACCAAAAAATGTATTGCCCAAGTGTGTATTATGTGAAGGAGCTATATTTATAGTGACAGGAAACTGAGTAACAAATGTCAGTCTTCAGTCCCTTAGTTTCCTTAATATTTGAGTTGTTTTTTTAAGCTCACTTCCACTTTGGGTGGATGGTGATCTCCATTGTTCTTGGATAATCTTCTAAAAAATGTCTTTAGATCTGGTTAATGGTGTAGGTGAATACTTCCATCTTCATCTGTTAATGCCAGAGAGAGTGTGCATTGTGATGTGGTCGTACCTCTAAATCTAAATTTATGACTAAAATAACAAAAGTATGGGTTTTTGGCAGATTTTTTTTTTCTTAGGAACACATCGGTAGAAAAAAACAATCTTGAATTACAGACTACAAAATTACATGCAAGGTAAAACCTTACCAGTATTTGCCATATTTTTTTCTTACTTTCCTTTTCATCACTATCATATTTCAGGTCATGTTTTGTCAAAATGAGTCATGGATTTTTACTCACATGGACAAAACTTTGACGTTGAATTTAAAGAAACTTTGAGGTGTGAGCATAAGGCTCAATTTCAGTTTTGTATGACTGAGCGGTACAAAAAAACCTGTTGTAGGTTGGTTTGGTTGTGTGTGGTGTGGTGTGTTGGGGTGTGTTTTTTTTTTTTTTAAGATACTTTGACTGGCGATACTATGCTTCTTCAGGTCGTAATACCTGTAAAATCTTCAGGGAGTACTTGGAGGGCCTTTCTAATAGAATGTGTTCACTATTCTAGTTATCACTGAGTGGTGAAAAAAGTTGCAGTTTCCTAAAGCTGTTGATCACCTAACTTTTTGTGACTAGACACTTTTTGTTTGGTGTTTTTAATCTTACATTGTTCTATACCTGAAGAATGACCTGTGCTTTGCAAAATACTAATCTTCAGTCAATGAACCGTATGTGGTATGGAGGCTCATTCTCTTGGTAAAGTTGATTACCTCTGCATGTGATGTCTTACTTGATACAGTATATCATATATGCAGTGTATGTTGGAGGACTAGGGTCTGCACC